CTTTGACAGAGTTCTCCTGGATACCAAAGACAAGCATATTAAAGCATTATATAATTTTAATGAGATTTTGAAACCGAGGAGGAAGTGGTTAAAGAATGTATGATAAGGTAGGCACAGAATATTGGGCACAATATAAGTTTGGGCACAATATAAATTTTAAAACTCGCTGTCAGTAGCTTTTAAAGAAAAAAATATATAAAATGTTTTACAGATAGTATATACCGTAACTCCCAGAAAATTAGACAAAATGGATGTTAAAATATCAAATATCTGTTAGAGATGTAAACAAAAAGAAGGGTTTTTTTTTTTTTAAATCCTCAAATAAATCAAATAAATCAAATAAATATGTGCTGATCATGTGGGAAAGCCTAAAAACATTGGGAAAGGGTTGAAATGCTTTTGCATGAGGTTTTAGAGATTCCGATAAGTGTAACCCCTGAATTTTTTCTTCTGAATATAATCCCGGATTCAATAGACCTAATGGAAAAATATTTAGTTATCCATATCTTGACAGATGCAAGAATTCTTTTTGCTTAACATTGGAAAGACCTGGAGAATCCATCACAAGATGAGTTAATAGCAAAAATCCTGGATATGGCAGAGATGGATAAACTAACAGAATGGCTAGACTCAACAAGAAAGATAAATCATGAAGATTGTTAGCATATATTCTATGATTGGCTTAGAAATAGAATGTAAATTAATATTTGATTATTGAAAGCCTAAGATCAATGTAGAATTAGAATATGTATTATAAAGTAAATCTGTTACACCGGAAACTTAAGTATCTTTGAAATGTAATAGATAAGAATGAATATTGTAAACTGTTATGTTGATTTACAACCCCTGTCTGTTTAATCCCATGTCCCCTGTTCCCATCCCTAATCCTAACCCTTAAAATAAAACTTTTTTTTTTAAAAAAAGAAACTCTTACCGAATGCATCCATCAGAATTCATACCTGCTTGGATTGACAGCATCAGCTACAGCGATGATTTTTCATGCTTGTCTGGGAATGAGGTCTCTCAGGCTTGGTATCTGTTCTCATTCAACATTCTAACCATGAGAAATATATTTAACAACAAAAAAAGACTGACTGGCATCAAGGAACTGGCCAATCAGCTGATTTGCTGGATGACCATTTCTAATTTTACTATCGAAAGGCCTTTTCAGCAACTCCAATCCAGTATCCAAATTACAACAAATGCAAACCTAATCAGTTGGGGGCTCACTGTAATGGCCCACAGATTTATGGTATTTCATCTGGTCATGAGAAGCATCTATGCATAAACAAACTGCTGTGATGGAGGCATTCCAGGTTTTCAAAACAATGATCACTGGCAAGGTAGTACAAGTAGCCACAGACAACACAACCACTATGTACTACATAAACAAACAGGATGGAACACATCCCATGTATCTCCTCTGTCTGTTGGCCCAACTGTGGGAGTGACACATGGAATAACATATCTTTCCCTTGTTGATTCGTGTGACAGGAGAAGACAATCAAAGAGCTGATTATCTGAGCAGACAAGAGATACAAGGTTATGAATGGGAGATATCCAAAGAAGTATTCCCAGACATTTCCACCTGATGGCGCAATTAGGTACAACAGGAAGTATAAAAAGTACCACTCTTGGGCACGAAGGAACTCACTCAGAGACACCTTCATGACTCAGTGATTGGAGAGACTGATCTACATCTTTCCTGTCATTCTACTGATCCACAATGTGGTAAAAAACCTTCAACAAGACAAAGTTGATACAGTTCTGGTCATTCAATGGTGGCCACATCAGGCCTCATTCACAGCCTTGAGACATATGGCAGAGACCACTCTTGGGCACGAAGGAACTCACTCAGAGACACCTTCATGACTCAGTGATTGGAGAGACTGATCTACATCTTTCCTGTCATTCTACTGATCCACAATGTGGTAAAAAACCTTCAACAAGACAAAGTTGATACAGTTCTGGTCATTCAATGGTGGCCACATCAGGCCTCATTCACAGCCTTGAGACATATGGCAGAGAACAAAAAGAAGAAGAGAAAGTGACCAAGAAGGAAATGACAAATGATGAAGAGGAGACAAGATATTTAAACTCCCTTACTCCTAGACAGGTTAATTCAAATAGTGTATAGAACTCACTGAATCTAGAGTAGATCCACTGTATTCATGGGGATTTGATCAGTCATTGTGACAACCCCAGACCTACTGGGATATGCCACAGTTTCACTAAGCTGCCACCAACCATTCCCTGTAAGGAGTCACACAGACCAGGAATGGATTTTTTGATTGGAGAGACTGATCTACATCTTTCCTCTCATTCTACTGATCCACAAAGTGGTAAAAAAACCTTCAACAAGACGAAGTTGATACAGTTCTGGTCATTCAGTGGTGGCCACATCAGGCCTCATTCGCAGCCTTGAGACAAATGGCAGAAAACAAAAAGAAGAAGAGAAAGTGACCAAGAAGGAAATGACAAATGATGAAGAGGAGACAAGATATTTAAACTCCCTTACTCCTAGACAGGTTAATTCAAATAGTGTATAGAACTCACTGAATCTAGAGTAGATCCACTGTATTCATGGGGATTTGATCAGTCATCTCTCCTATAAGTTCCACTGATTCAATGGACCTATTCCAGACATGGTTTTTGTTGACTAAAACTCCCAGAATCCCCCAATAACAAAAAAATGTGAGAGATTTCCAAACTCTGCAGTGCAGTGATATATGTTGCAGACACATTGCTTTATGGGAAAAGTAAGATCTATTGCTCTGTGAATGTGCCATTTGGGGTAATATCTGTTATCATTTGGTCACCAGAGGGATGTTGTTATTTATTTGTCTATTTTAAATATTTTTACTCTGACTTTCTCCTTGAAAAGGACCCAAGGTGGCTTACAACAATGAGAGACAATATTTGATGTTGAAAACAATGAGTATACAATGGTGGTTAACATCATTAGAAGATGATAATTTAAAAATACAAACAATGAATTAGAAGGCATCTTACATCATTAACAGGCAATATTGAGGCAAAGGTCAATAAGTATACAATTTGTTTTAAGACATTGCTCTGAGAAATGGAAAACACAAAAATGGAAAACATAAGTAGCACTAAAAAACTAGTCAAAGCAGTAATGTATAGCAATCTACCCAGTTTCCGCGAAATAAGCCCTACCACAAAAATAAGCCCCAGTTAAGTGAAACCCCACCC